ATGACCAAACTCGAATATTGTTGATTAAAATGTCGAATTTTTATGGTTCAAAAACCATTATTTTGTAAAAATAAACAAATTATACTGCTGAATTGGAACTGGAAAATTGCCTAAGTTACACTGATATTTGTTTAAATTTATTTTTTCTCGATCGATTCAACCTCTGGGTGTCAATACGCCTTTTTAATTGAAACTAAGCGTTCGATGAAACCTCTGGTGGTGAATAGGAAAACGTCAAAAAGAGTTTTGTGAGCAGAATTTTTTTTGCCGACATAGGAAACGGAATACTTTTTCAATTTTCCTGATAAATTGATTGATCTGAGATGCTCCAACGCTTGGTCTACAGTTAAAAAATTTAATTCTGTGTCATTTTTGCAAGGATCCTGCTGATTTTTTGTTGAGAAAAATGGGAAATTACAAAAGTTATGATCATCCGGATTTTTTGTTTGTGAATAATTTAGGTGCAAATCAGTTCAGATATGTGGAAAATCGTACAATTAGACAATTACTGATGCAAATTGGCAAGATTTTCAATGAAAAATGCTGTAATTTGCATTGTGAAAAACCCTTATTCTGATGTAAACAAACGGTTTAGTTGACGTTTCCTCTCGAACTCGTCTGGCGCACTCTACATTGGTGGTGCATTAAAAAGACCTTTAGGGGAACGTTATAAAGAGTGTTTGTAAGCAGAACTGTATGCCGTCAGAAGTAGGATGCGGAACACTTTTCCCTTTTCCTGATTAATTGATTCATCTGAGATGCTACAAAACTTTATCCACGGTTAGAAAATTTAAATGTGTATCGTTTATTTATCGGCATATGAGGTTAGTAGGCAAATCACTATGGGAAACGAAACTTTTTATCAACATGTGCACAGGTGTGCGAGGCGTATATATGGACCTTGAGATGGAAATTCCACCGAAGCTTCACTTCCTCAATCGAAAGATCGAGGGGCATCGGATAAATTTCTGCTTCATGGGCAAGATCTGGAAACAGCCAGCACTAGCAGTACGTAATCGGGTTTTGTGACTGGAGAAGCATCGTTGGTTAACAAACAAGGGAGGAATAGAGATGCTTGTAGTATACCATTCCCACACTGTTAATAAAATCCTAACCAAAGTAAACCAGTCTAATTAATTATCCACTCCAGGCACCGAGCCATCGCTCGGGCAAGAATGCAATTATGCAACTTTAAGTCATATGTTTACCACTCATTACTAGAACTGCAGCGCTCTCTCGTCCTCTATACACCCTTTTCCCATTGAATAAAGTCTGGAACGCGCAAAAATTGGTCAACTTCAAATTGGTGTATTTCTGTTAAAAATGCATAACAAAACGTGAAATGCTGCATTTGGAAGTTGAGTGTATAAACAATGGTTGCTATGATGAATTTTCACCGTCTGCTCTCCAGTTTTCGAAATGACGTCCAAGCAAGAGGAGCAGCGTGTCAAAATTGTGCTCGCGCAGCAAGAGAATCCGACGTTCGCACACGTCAATCTGGCAAAATTTCTGGATGTGGCCAAATAGACCGTGACAAAAGTTTTAAAAGTGTTCGGGGAGCGTTCGTCGACCGCCAGGAAGCCTGGAAGCGGCGGCAATCGTAATCCGGACGTGGCAGCGACGACGGAGCGGAATCCTAAACTCTACATCCGGGACGTCACTGGCAAGCTCAATGTCTCCCAAACTACTGTGTAGCGTGCCAAGAAACGAGCCGGGTTGTCGACATTTAAGAAGGTGAAGGTGTCTAACCGAGATTACAAACAAAACACGTCGTCTCGAAAGCTGTATACGAATCTGCTCACAAATTTCGACTGTGTCGTCATGAACGACGAAACTTATGTGAAAGCGGATTTCAAGTAGCTTCCAGGAGTTTTAGGAAAAGGGAAGGTGGTTGAAATTTTCAAAACCATCAAACTATCGAAGTTCCCGAAAAATATCTTGTCTGGCAGGCCATATGCACGTGTGGTCTGTAAAGTGGCATTTTCATTACTACGGGAACCATCAATCAAGAGATCTACGTCCAGGAGTGCCTGGAAAAGCAGCTGCTACCATTCCTAAAGCAACATAATAGACCTGTGCTGTTCTGGCCGGACTTGGCGAGCTGCCACTATAGGAAAAAGGCAATCGAGGGGTACGATGCGAACAACGTGGTTGTGGTACTCAAAGACCACAACCCTCCCAACAGCCCAGAACTCCGTCCTATCGAACGGTATTGAGCCTTGGTTAAACGGAATCTCAAAAAAAAAAAAAATAATAATAGATCCATGGAAAACGAGTAGCAGAAAATCTAACTGGCGTTCTACGGCGAATAAGGTTCATGAGACCACTGTGCAAAATTGAAAGGAAGAGGTTAAGAGGAAGGCACGGCAGTTCGGATTTGGCAAACCAAAAGAATAAACGAACATGTTTTCCTTTAAATATATGAATTGAACTACCAAAAGAAGAACAAGAAGATTTTTGTTATATGAATTTTGACTGAAAGAAACGATTTTTTTGTCGACCAATTTTTGCGCGTTCCAGTCTTTGAACGAGAGGGTTCTTATTCTAAAGCTCGACCCTGCTGGGATTATTCCATGCAGTCTATCGACTCTTTGAAATTAAGTTCAAGTCTTTCTTTGAGACCATGCTGGACTTCCCCAATCAGGCTTCGCATTGAGTAAAGAAAGACCTAAATCCGTGCGCGCGCGAACTCTTGATAACGCACATAAAATATTCGGCATGAAAGTTATGCCAGATGCTCGAGGAAGAGATGGTGTCAATGGACGTGGTGACCACGGTCACCACCGGTATGACCAGAAACAGCAGCCACCTGTGTTCAATCATTGGAATGATGCATACTACTACTACAACTACACATTCGGTATAGTGGACTAAACCATGGCCCTCTTAGGGATGGAACAAACTCTTTTGCTTATTACAGCGCTTCTAGCGGACGTTTTCGGAAGATTTTGACGACAACAATACCAATGACCGTGTATTTTTTCAGTTCAGTTGGAAACAGTCACCATGCAAGAGGAGCGTAGAAAATTTTTTCGTGCACTGTCACCTGGGAAATCCATCGTGGTCAACGTCCAAGTTGGCTACATTGTTGATTTTTCCTAGAAACACCGTATGACGCGTGCTTAAAACGTGCAGGGAAACGTTGGCGACGAATCGGAAGCCTCAAAGTAAAGGCCGGAGTGGAACTGCCAACCGTCAACTCCAAGGAAAGGTCGTTAGGTCCATCAGAAGCAACCCAGGTATGTTCGATCGCGATTTGAGTAAAAAGTATGATGCGGCCCGTAGTACAGTGTAGCGAATTCGCATACCATGCCAGTAGGCAACCAAATCGATCACTCGAGCAGAATACCGTAGCTAGAACCCGTGGTCGAAAGCTGTATGACAACCTGTGGACTTGGTCATACGGTGGGTGCAAACTTATGGATGATGAAACCCGCCGACTTCGGACAGCTTCCAGCACCAAAAATTAACAAGGCGAATGCTCGAGGAGGTGTCCCTGGCAGATTCATATTTGTTTTTGCGGATAAATTCGCACGCAAAAATATAACCTTGCAGGGAATTTGCAGCTACGATTAGAAGGCAAAGGTTTTCGTCACTGAGAAAATGATGAACTCGGAGGTTTACAAAACCGAATGTCTCCAGAAGCGAATTCTGCCCTTCATCCAGTCACATGATGGTCCGGTGACATTTTAGTCGGATCTTGCGAGTTGTCACTACAGCTGGCAAGTACAACCATGGATGACAACGGAGTCCAGTTTATTCCAAAAACCCTCAATCCACCCAACTGTCCCCAGTTCAAGTTCATTGAAAACTACTGGACAATTAATAAGAGGAAACTGAAGGTAAAAGGTACAGTCATCAAAACGGCAACTCAGATGAAAAATGGGTGGGATAAAATCGCCAAAACAGTGAACGAGACCGTTGTGCGCCGCTTGATGGGTCGTATTAAGAGAAAAGTTCTGGAATTCCTTCGAAACCGTGACGAATAACGATTCTTATTTTTTTCTTAAACTATAAGGAATAGTATGCACTTGAGTGAAAACCGTTTTCAAATCCGTTAATTCAAATCCGTCTTAGACCTGAATGATATTGTCCCATTACTAAGTGCGGACCCGAGAGGGGCGATACATCGTGGTATGTCTGTAAGCCATCTCAATTTTAGATGCTCAAAAAATCTCACACTAGCGAATCAGTCTTCGAAAAATCTTCTTACATTTCTCGCATCTACATGCATCGCGCATCATCTTTTTGCAGGAAATCTTCAGAATCGTCATCAATCTTCTTTCTATCTACTCAAAGTGCGGGCAGCTAGCCACAGCACAACACAATATTTACTGCAGCGTAGATAGAGTCGTCCCCCTCGTGCGGACCATGCTTTACACTGAGAAATATTGGGAAAAGGACGTAGAGGAGGTCAAGCGGACGGCTATGAAGAAACAGAAAGGAAAAGAGGAGTTAACGGAATTTCGGGGAAGGAGAAAGCTCACGGTAAATAGCCTCCAAGTAAAAACCAGAAGAACTCATCACGACCCTCTCCGATGTAAAATCAATTGCAAATTCGCTCTAAAGTTTTTCGGCTCCATTCAGTTCAGTAACACGTATTTTCCGATTTCCTATCAAGGCAAATTTGATCGTTAATTTCGGTGAATCGAAAGTATTTCGGTCTAGAAGGATTGTCCAAAAAAGTCATACCTTTATGAAAAGCAGCTTGAAACCTATAATGGGTAGGTGATGGATATAGGATATCTTAGAATTGCTGAAAAGTAGACGGGTAGGCACATCATAATATTTAGTACATGGAACTTACGCTGCAGGATCAAGAAGACAAGAAACTAGCTCAGTATGTTAGGTATAACGACCAACTTGATGTCGATGTTGAACCATGTATTTTTGAATACGCACCAGTCAGATGATGATGATTCATGTTAGCATTCGAAACATTCGTATAGTAAGGTATCATGTCAAGAAAACTTTCACATCTGGGAGGTTGAAAAGAAGAGTTGACAAACAACACAGGTGATTTATTTTCCGGAAATCAATCAACAGCGTCTTGCATCGTTTTCGTCGTCAATGCATTCTACTAAACTTACTCTGAATCGAAGGGCAGTGAAAAGTATCCGTTATCTCTTACTTCTTTTTTCCTCTAGTTTAAACCTAAAACTCAATCGTGTCGTACTAGAAACAAAAAAATTGCCCAAAGTTTTGATTTCTGACTATTATCGGTAAAACGTATAATTCAAACTAGGCACGTTTCTAGGATATGGGAGAAAGTATTCAATCATATAGAAGCACATACAAATCATTTCCTTATTGCCAGTTGCACATTATGTTCGAAGTTATGCTTGATCACTATATTTAACAGAAATTATCAAAATCCAAACTCGTTAAATTAACGTAACCTACAATGAAGAAATCGAGTAGCAAACAATTTTCTTAACTGGACGTTTGATTCTCTGAGGGTCTGCTGGAAGGTTGATTTTCCAGCGCGGAAATGAATTGATCTAACTTAAGTAAAAATAACCAAATGAAACATTTTCCAACTAAATATAAGACTAAACAAACATCGCCTTTCCATCATTAATCGCTTACTTATTCGCCCTTATGCCGAGCACAATCAAAAGCACAATTCGGTACAAAACGTATCGCTTAATAAAGTGGTTTTTGGGGGTATGCTCTTCTGTGTATGTGTGTGTGCAATAACAACAAAAAACAAAAATTATTCAATTATTTTAAATTTACGAACACCTTTTGATCGCTCAAGTAAGCTCAACAAACTCCGGCCCGGAGGCAACGGATGTAGCAATAGTAGCAGCGGCGACAGCAGTAGCGGCAGCAGAGCAGATGTGCCTTCATTGCACCCAACTGACCGGGGCCCACAGTGGTTCCGATTCGGATTTGTTGGCCATGTTTAGGAGCTTTTCGAACGCCTCCGTCAGGTCACCGTTGACAATTTCGTCATCGAAAAAGTGGCCGTAGAGAGTGTTGACCCGCTCGTCCGATTTGATCATCTCTTGGAACTCTTCGTCCTACGGATGAATGAGGTCGTGTTGATTAAAAACCCTACAGGATATTTAAGAAACAGTTTAACCTACCGTGAAACCCCTCGAATTGGTCTCATCGAACGTCGAACGGGCACGAGCCTTGGTTCGGGACTGCTTCAGCTCATCGAACGGTGGTGGTCGAATGTGCACAATATACGGCTTCAGCTGTGCCGTCCTCAGCGACTTCAACGCCTGATAGTGTGGACTCAGGACGCATACACAGTTTCCGTTCACAATGGTCTTCACGCTTTCCCCCGATGTCCCGTACAGATGCCCCTTGTATTCGCCGTACTCGATGAACTTCCCAGCGGCAATATCACTTTCCATCTTTTCGCGTGTCACAAAGAGGTACTCCCTTCCGGCGACTTCACCCGGGCGCATCGGACGAGTTGTATCTGCAGAGAAAAACAACCGATCATCATCGAACCCTCACACTTCAGACTCCCAGCAATAAACTCACATGGCACACAGCTCTTGTACTTCTCCGGATCCCTAGCGACCAGGCGACGCTTCAGCTCATTCCGACCGACTCCGGGGGCACCGATCAGCACGATCGGCCGATAGACGCCGGGCCTCGGGTACAGTTTGGCCACCTCTTCGTATGTAGCGATCAGCTCCCGATCGAAGTCATCGTTCTCGGCTGTATCGTACATAATCTTTTTAGTTTTGGGCCCTCGACAGGGAATGTTGGGATTAGGCGAACCGGGTGGTGTCGAACAAATGGAGGCACATGAACCTTCTAATGTACATGTACACATTGACGAACATTCACAAAAGCGGCACATGATATGAAACACAGTGATGAATCGAGATCCGGGTTTTGGACACAGTACGAATGATTATGGAAAAGCGAAAGAAAAAGACATCGTGGTTAGTGGGGTGAGAATTGTCAGGTTGAATTTCAAGGCAAGATTGCATGGTTGGGAAAGGCTACTATGGATTACCACATTGGACATGTTTTCAGCAGGGAACTCACTTTTAGCTTCACCGTTCGTTTCCTTTGCAGTGCGATCATGTAGGATACGCCTTTCTTGCAGTGCACGGCTTGGTATAAGTCCGGCCCTCGTCGTTTTTTCTCCCTCCTTCCGAGCCTGCCACCAGTAGGAATCGTCCTGTAATGGAAAGTTGAAACAAATTCGTCAACCCTGTTTTTGAAAATCGTTTCGAATTTTATACGAAATCTATGCTTTTTTTTAGTGGTCTTCTTGCACGAAGATTTGCATTTATTGTTATGAGAAATTATTGACAGATGAAAGTCTGATGCGCGGAAGGACTGACACAATCGGGTCAATGCTGTATAAGCAAAATTATTGTGGTATTGATCCATGTATTATTTACTGCTCGTAGTTACAATTATGTAATGTTTCATTCGGATCGGAGATGGTAGAGATTTGACAATAATGACTACGAGCGGTAAATGGATGGATCAATATGACAATATTTTTGCTTATACTGTAATAATCCGCGCATCAGACTTTTTTATGTTTCCAAAAATTTCAAGGATGCCGTTTTGTAAATTTTACAAGATCCACAGTGGCCAAATTTTAACTTAAATGTGTGTGTGCCTATAACATACAATTATGCAAATCGGAGAAGATCTATTCAAAAATTCAATATATTTTTCGTTATTTTGCCGGGAAGTTCTCATTTAGAAGATTCCTAATAATCAGGATCTTTGAGATGTTTCTCCAAGATGATTTTTGACGTAGAACTACGTCTTTGTGGACTATACTGGGGTGCAAATAATAATGAACAAAAAGTGTGGCGGAATAGTGTTAGGTTTCTAGCGCTTGTAACTTTGTCATTTATGGATGTAAATAAAATCCAAATACGCCAATCGATATGAAAAAAGCCCTACAAATCTGCTGAAATAAGTATTTTTCCAACTTTCTATAAAGAACTTTTGAAAAATGTTCAAATGATAAAGTTATCCCTGGTTTTATTAAATGAACGGTTTCTCAAACCCAGTCATCACAATCGAGTTGCACATCGTTCTTCTTGAACCTGACTTGAACTCTGCTCAGCAGCTATTAGAAGCACTAAAAACATGAAGGCTCCGGTATGGATGGTGTAGTCAACCTCGAGTTGAAAAACTTGAGTATTGACTTCTTCAACCATCTTAACCTTATCTTAAACAAATGTTTGGAGCTTGACTACTTCCCTGCATGTTGGAAGTTAGCCAAAGTGATTCCAATACACAAGTCTGACAAAGATCCTACCAGTTCCAAAAGCTATAGCCCCATCAGCCTCTTGTCCTCCATCTCGAAGCTATTCGAAAAGTTGATACTCAGCTGTCTGCTGATGTTTTCAAATGTTAATAACATTTTTCTCAACGTGAAATTCGGGTTTAGGAAAGCCCACTTTACCATCCACCAACTCGCACGGGTTACTAACATCATCAAGCGGAATAATTCCATTTCCAATACATCTGCCATGGCATTGTTGGACGTCGAGAAGGTGTTCGACAATGTCTGGCATGATGGTCTAGTGTACAAGCTGCATCGATACAACTTTCCAATCTACCTCGTGAAGATCATCAAAAACTACTTGTCGGGCAGATCATTCCAGGTCTACTTGAACAATGTCCCCTCTGATACGTTCAACGTTCATGCAGGGGTCCCTCAGGGTAGCCTGCTTGGGCCTATCCTATTCAACATTTTCACGTCAGACGTTCCTCCGCTGCCGGGTGGTGGTATCCTGTCTATGTTCGCAGATGACACCTCCATCATCTATAAGGGTCGAGTGATCTGTGCTCTGGCGAGTAAACTACAATCAGGCCTGGATGTTCTGTCCGACTATTTCAAGAGATGGAAGCTTTGTATCAATGCAGCTAAAACACAAACCATTCTGTTTCCACACTCAAGTTCACCTCGGCTTGTTCCACCTGCTAACGTTGAATGGTCGAGTGAAGTAGTCTACCTTCGTCTCACCCTCGATAGCAGATTGCTATTCCGATCCCATGTGGACAAGACATCCACCAAGTATAACATCTTGATCAGGTCGCTCTACCGTCTGATAAGCAGGAAGTCCATTCTGTCTCTCAAAAACAAGCTTGCTGTCCACGAGCAGATCATTCTGCCGGCTATTGAGTATGGTATGCCAATCTGGGAGAGTTGTGCTAAGTGCCACCACCTAAAACTTCAAAGGATCCAAAACAAGATCCTCAGAATGATCCTTAACAGTCCACCGTGAATTCGTAATTCTGAGATTCACCACCTGGCTGGTCTTCAAACACTCGAGGAGCGAAAGACTTCCACGCTGGAAAAGTTCAGAGTTGCCTGCCTGCGATCAAATCCCCAGATCATTCGTGATTTGGCAACCTAGTTTAAGTTGTTAGGTAGGTTCCTGTACTCAAGTAGGTAGGTTATCAAATTTTTAAATTCAACCGAAAACAATCCCATAAAAGGGTATCCTGTAAATTAGTGCTAAATGCAATCATCTCATTAGAATAACCACTGAGTGAATCCAATCTTTACTTTTCTCGGGAAATTTTTTCCCGAAATTCGGGAATTTTTTTCCTGGAAAATCCTGGAAAAACCTGGGAAAACATGAGGCAAATCTACTCATCGCTGAGTGCCTGCACTTTATGTGATTTATGAGTTGACTAAACTCAAATTTGGAACGTTCTAATTCGCCGTGATATCATCTTGAAAGATATCGGCGCCGGTGGTGTAGTGGTAAGCGTGATTACCTCTCACCGCAGCAGGCCTGAGTCCAATCTCAGCCGGTGCCACCGGCATGTTCTAAGGCATAACATCTCTGATCACACCTTCCTTCAGGAAGTAAAGCCGTTGGTCTCCGGTTCATGAGTTGATGGGTCGATATGTGGGGTCCAGGTGTGGGAGCTGCCTCCCTGGCGTCGGTAGCATTGGAGCTCAGTACGGAAAACTAAAGAGACTGAATTGGGTGAAGAGGCGACATCTTATCTATTTGACAAGTCTTCTGCTCGATTGGAATAACTTTTCCTATGACTTTGACAGATAATCCATTGTTCCAATTTTGACATGTCGTCTCTTAATAAATTCAGGCTCTTTACGGAAAACAAATCTCGCGTCACTTTTCAATTAGGTCCTATCTACATTGATCGATTCTCTTCATCGACACTCTCCTTCGTAAATAACTCGGCTTCACAAATGTTTCCTGCCGTCTTCATCGAATTAGATGGTAGATTGTTGCTTCTTCCATCGAAACTATCCGGCCGTGGCGATTCAAAGTTGATCAAGGTTGATCAACATAATTTGTACCCCTGCTTCCAGTTTGATTACATGAGCATTTTGTGTGATCGTTGGTTCTGAATATGGACAAACAGGCAGATGAATTCTATTCCTACTCTTTACTGTAATAAGCTTGGTGTCCCTTAAAAGAGACGTTTTGTTGCCAAAGTTGGTGATGATTTAACCTCCGCAACCAAACAGAGTGCGTCTCTGTCACTTCAAAACGTAGATGACATCCATGGCCGCTTACGCTACACTAAGACAGCATTACGGATCTCATTTTTCAGGAACACCTTCTGCACACCTCGTAGATCAGACCGGAGTTACGTCAGACACCGCAACGGCGAGCCAGACGACGGATGGTGGTTATCTCGAAGAATTTGCGTTTGGTTCTGAATATGGCGATGAGTGTGCAAAATATTACGCAATTCCATCCTCCCTATTCGCACGTGCACTTCGACTTGTTTCGTCTACTTACTACTCTCTGACGACTGTGCTGGGGAAGCAGCATATGCATGTAGGTAATTGGTGGATTGGGGCCTCCCTTAGCTCAGTCGGTAAAGGCGCAGCTACAAAGCAAGACCATGCTGGAGGTGGCTGGGTTCGATTCCTGGCCCAGTCTAGGAATTTTTCGGGTTGGAAAATTTCTTGACTTCCCTGGGCATAGAAGTATGATTCGACTTGCCACACAATTATACCAATGCAAAAATGGTACAGGCATCGAAAGCTCTCAATTAATAACTGTGGAAGTGCATCTAGAACACTAAGTTGAGAGCACGCAATAAGCTAATATGCGATATGCAATAAGCTTGAAATGCGAAAAAGAAGAAGAAGAAGAAGAAGAAGAAGAAGAAGAATTGGTGGATTTGTTAGTTAATTCGACGCTTTTGGACAATGCTAGACATTTACCAGTTTTTCAATAGTTTTTTGTTGAAAATCAACATTGATGCCTAGCAATATTTCTGATCGATTGGTAATAAAATTATTGAAATTGGACCAAGGGCAGCTGAGTTATTAACGTTCAAAATCTTTCTTAATTTGTTACATGTTCTATTTTTGGTTTTCACAAAGTGTACCCCCATATAGAAATCAAAGACGTAGTCCTACGTCAAAACAATATGGAGAACTCCACTTAAGATTTTGGAATATTTCCTAATCATCCGTCTATATTGAGAGAATATCTAAGAAATGTGCATTAATTTATTGATCAACGACAAGTATTGAAAAATATGCAAAGAGCTTTTTGGAAATCAATGGTTAACTGAAGTTCTTTGACATACTTCCTGACCAACCTGATGTCTTGACAAAATGTCCAGCAGACTAAATGCAGTTCTTTTAATTCAATCAAATTAAGGTTTAAGGAATAACTTCGGATCAACCTGTTTTCTGAAAGACATGTCATAGAAACATGATTTGAGTTGGAGATCTACAAAATAATACCTGATAAACTAATAGTCTTGAATAATTATACAGAGGACTTTATTACGATTGATCAACTGAACGTTTTTGGAATAAATCTTGATCAACCTTGAAGAATATCTAAGAGACATGACAAGATAATCATTAAGCAACCAGAAGAATTGACAAAATATCAAGAGAACATTATGCAGGTATTTCACCAACTGAATGACATTAGAATAATTCCTGTTCAACCTGATTTCTGAAAAAATATCTGAGATTTGAATTACTGGACAGTTGGAGACTTCCAGAATATAACCTGATCGGCCTCAAGTATTGACAAAATATACAAAGAGTATGATGCAGGCTTTTGATCATCTGATGCTCTCTGGAATAATTTCTAAACAACCTGCTATGATACGAGAATTTATAACAGGTATGATCTATTGAACAGTTAAAGATCTTTAGTAAAATATTTTATAAACCATATGAATCGTCAA